CCGGTACGTTACGTTACTACTAAACTAATAACTTACGTAAGTAGTACGTATTACTAACTAACTTACTTAAACGTAACTTACTTTAGTTCTTCGTCGTTCGTTCTCTCTCTCTCTCTCTCTCTCTCTCTCTCTCTCTCTCTCCTCGGGTAGAATACATGGTAGAGCCCCACAATCTTCTGACCTGTCTCTCTCTTCAAGGGTGCCCAACACTTCAGTTTCCCAATTACACACCACCTATGTTCAAAACTTCAAGCTTTTGAACTGGTCTCTGGATTATAGAGGTGATAATAAGATCCCCCATTTGATTGTGATGCTCTCTTCATATTTCTATTAGCATGGCCCTTTGTACTCTCTGCCCTTCTACCTGATAGCATCAATGAGATGATAACCAAGAAACCCAAAGCAAAGAAACTCCACAAACTAACCATCCAGTAACTAGGAACCTTCAATTTACTGAATGCATGGAATGAGTCTTTCCTATCTAAATCAATGGTTCTTGACATTGCTACCTTTCCTGAAACAGTTTCATTCAATGCACCATTTTCTTTACCCGAAACAGTCCCTTGATCCAAAGTGTTTTTGAGAGTTGGGTCAGGACAATTCCGTCTTTTGTGATGCAAATATAGAGCGTCATTCAATGTCTTCATGCACTCAATGCTTAACTTGTCTCTTCGGAAGGAGTCTTCATCGGTTTGAGAGAGAGTTGAGGGATCAGGTGGGTCAGGAAATTGAGTCCAACAAACATTGACTAGGTCTCTCTCCCTCCAAACTGCCTTGTCAAAACTCCAATTCCCAACCCCAAACCCGAGCCCATAATGGAAGACTCTAGGTTCTGTGCCTGGATTCGGTATGTAACCTGGATAGAGCAACATGTCTCTATCCACACGATGCCTCAGATTTAACTGCAAATGGACAATACATGAACATCAAAATAAAACTTAAAATCATGAAGGGGAAGGGTGGGAATAAAGCACTTTGTAAAAAAGTTGACATAGACTTGATAGCATCTACTAGTTTGAGGGGAAGTATGAAACCATATAGATCAGGGTGTTCTGTGCAAGGATGTGAGTTGTATGTGTGTGTGTGTGGGAGGGAGAGAGAGAGGTTGCACGTATTGGTTTGTCCACCAATAGAAATCCCAATATATGTCTATGCATATGGACACACATGAAAAGCCTTTCTCATGCTTATGTCTGCATGCATGTGGCATAAAAATGAGAATGTACCTATAACTGAATTGGCCAAACTTAAGTTAACCAGTTATGTGTGTCATTTAACAAAACAGTGTCAAGTTTCAGAAATTCTTTCAGAAAAATGGTGCGAGACAATTCTAATTGAATTACAGTTTCTATTAAACCCAATCACTAATGGACTTACTGGCAACTTTTTTAATCAGTCCTAGTTAGATGGTAATCTTACCAAAGACTGACAGGCCACGTACCTCAGCTGCCCCAAAGGAATACCCATACATCTCGCTAATCCAGCCACTTGCATAAATATCCCCAGTAATATTAGTTGCATAATGCTCCGTATCAGCCCTAACTTCTTCTGTCTTATGAAGCCACAACATAGCAAACTTTCTCAAATCATCTATGTGCATGACTATCACTCCACCCACCTTATCACAAGCTTCAGGGTTCTTTGTGTGGAGCTTTGCAAGCTTGTTATCGCACCCTATAAGATACCTAAATGGAATTTATCACGTAAGAAATTGCTTCTGGGTACATAAAAATACGAGACAACTAGTAAGAGGGAGAAGATGTCAGTCCAAACTATTGTATATGTACTCCAAGGCTACATCCACCATCTATTCTCACTGACGGTGGTTGAAGATTAACAGGAGTGGGGCCCACATAGACAATAAGGTGGCTGCAGTTAACATCCAAGTCTCCAAGCAATTATCAGTGGGGATGAAAAATGGATGTAGCTCAGAGTACCATACACCATAGTCCATTGGACTATACATATATTGTTAGCTAAATCTCGAGAATTCATCATGTCTTACTCATAAGGGGTTGAAACAGGGTGTCCACGCTCCGCATTGAACTCCCAGGGAGTAATGGGTCCTCTAAGAATCATATCAGCATCAAGAATAACTATGAATTCAGCATCTATCTCAGCATGATTAAGCCAATGCAGGACAGCTGCAGGCTTGTTGATTGCTGGGTACCTGACATAACGAATGTGTAAAAAATATGAAGAACGCATTCAAAATGTATTCAAAGCTGATATACATGCTACGTGTGAGTAAAATGCCAACATTCATGCAATGTAAGCTTTTTTTCTGTAGATAATGACTTATATAGGAATTCTAATCAGACAAGGCACATGTGTATTTAGAGCAATCCATATCTCACACCAGAAAGACGGCTGTTACGTTTGTTCTTATTGGAACTTGACGACCTCCATGGAAACTTTTTGTCATCCTCTTTTTTTATACAGAAGTTAATCTTAACATTTTTTTCTGGATACCAGGGCTTCAATTCAGCTCTTTTGAAAGGTAATATTTAGGAAACTTGGTGAGCTATCTTCCTAGTGGGATGGATTTGTGTTGCTACTTCTTTTTGTTTATCAACTTCCAACAACAACTTCTCAATTTATAACTTATGCAGCCATGAATAAAGGAGATTTTAGCCAATCAATAACTTTACAAGCTATTTATCAAAATAAACAAATTAATAAATGAATAAAAATAAAAAACTACAAGCCATTTCATCATAGCACTCGTTAAATATTACTCCCTCTCATTTAAACAAGAAGAAGAAGAAGTTCAAGCTATTTCATCACTTCACGTGTCAAATATTAATCTCTCATTCTAAAACTCAATGAATTATCAATTCTGGTACTTTCCATCATATGACAGAAAATCCCAATCTCTTGTCGCTTCCCATCCCATCATGGGTTTCTATCATAGAACATTGTTAATGTTTCTTATTTAGAACATTATACTGTGTTGCTTCTCATTTCTTGAATGTCTAGTGTAGTGTTTTCCAAATTTATTCATGAATTTTGTTCATGCTTGCTTGATCAAAAATTTATTCATGAATTTTGTTCTTGCTTGCTTGATAAAAAACTGTATTGCTTTATATCATGGCGGATACTTCCTACATTCAAGATTTCTCAACAGAAAAGTTCATTAGAGAGGCTTAGAGTTTTTTGTTTTGTTATTTATTTTTGTTTTTTGCTGCCTTTCATAAATGAGAGTCCATGCAATTAGTAGACTCTTTGGGCTATTCTATTACTTGAAATGTCATTTTATGTATACCTGCCCACAACTCTCAACACCTTCTATGTTAGAATCTTTGGAAAAGAAGATTAAGGCATTTGAATTTTTTCAATTTCATAATGATTTATTTGCAACTTGCATGGACCATTAACTTCCAATTCACGTATGAACAATAACAAGTTGCACCATTCATAGTAAATGACTAAACCCACATTTAATTGCAAGTCAAATCATCATCATTATTAGAGTCTCTTTCCCAACTATTTGGGGTTGACTACACGAATCTTGGTCTGTCACTATTTTCAACCATGTCTTTTGGACCTAGCCCTTGCCCTTTTTGAGCCTTCCACTTGAACCAACTCGTACATCCTAAGCAGATAATATAAATCCAGGATTCATGAAAAGTTTTGACAAAGTTTTATGTTAGGTGCCTACCTAATACAAACCACCTCCTTCACACGGCCTTGGGATGGGTTAAGGGAAAGTTTAAAGTCCTCACCCTTCTTAGACCATCAATTGCCAATCAAATGCAATTCAATAATCATAGAAAGTTAAATGCCTTCCCAATACGCATAAATCCAGCTTCCAATCCAGGTATAACTGACAAATAACAATATAAGAAAAAAATATTGGCAAAACTTCAATTGAAAGGATTTGAAATTATTATTTTCAGAATGTGGACTTTTAGTATTAATAAGAGTAGAATAATACATACATTAGGTTGACCTTGGGGCTCTCGAGTGCCCAAGAAGTTCGTTCCTTTTTGCCGTCAAAGAGAGTAATCCAGTTATTGTAATCCCCAAACTGATATCCTTGGTCGACCACCTTTTTATTTGTCCGGAGTGGACACCAGTTTGAATAAGTTGGGAATTTTAAAGTTTTTTAAATTTCAAAATAAGATTATTTCTGTCATTTTACATAAAAGATGATATTGAGATGCTATTTTATTCAAAGATTAAAATAAGGACATGTATCCCAATATTTTCAGAAAACCACATATGCCAATCCATTTCCTTAATTACAACACTTTGATGGCAATCTTAGAAAGTTTCGGAAAAGTTTATTTTTGAGAAATACAATCTCTCTCTCTCTCTCTCTCTCTCTCTCTCTCCCTCCCCCCCCTGAAAGGAAATTTGTACACAAACTTGCCCCTCAAACTGTGATATACATTTTCACTCTCAGAACCAATTCTACATATTTGTTTGTAAAGTTGGCATCCATATGCAATTTAAGAGGCTATCAATTTTGTGTATGGGAACCAAAGTGACTTATATCAGATTTATGAGGAGATCTGTTTTGCTCAGCACTGCTTTGAGAGGTATTACTGTAATTTGTTTTCTAATATGCTAATTAAGTATCTCATGATAAAACATATTGAGGAAAAGCATGTACCAGTCACCAGTTAATGGGTGTCTACTCATTGATGGGACATAGTGGGTGGGAGCCAAATCATGTCCTGCATATTTCTTGAGGTCTTCATCCGTACAGCTAAGTAGACGTGTTATATTACCAGGCTGTCCACTCAGGTGGAAGCTGTGCATAAGACCCACAGTTTGCCAATCAAAATATGGAATACATTCAGTAGAGAAAACTGTATGGATTTTTGGGTGCACCCTTCCTGGATCCTCAGATGGCTCCTGCTTATTGAATTTCAAATTTTCTTTTATTTCAGGAGTCAATGATTTTGGCTGAGTCAAACGAGCATAAGTCTTGCTCTTCAAAAAACTCAAATACTTGGACCAGCGTGGTTTTGGGCAACCAGAAGCTGCATGGTGTATCAATAGGCCTTCATTTATCATATTAACGCACTCTAAGCTTAGGTAAAGGCCCCGCTTTTTGTTTGGATCGTTTTCCATCATTTCCACCTACATGCAAATAATATTCGCATTAGGTTAGTGGACAGTGAAATGTGACTTCTCCTGATAAGCAAAATGAAGTCCTATGATTTTATAGCAGCTTCTCTTTTCCCTATTTTTAAGGCATGAATGGATCGGATATCTATTATAGGATATATAATTAGGATGAAACAGATTTCATATTCAATTGTATAGGAAAAATAAAATCCTTATTTCCTACAGGACCCCTTATAATAGAAACAAAACCAGGAACTGCAAACAAATTCTACAAATTTACAATCAATTTATGCTATTCTTTAAATTATGTTGATAAATAAGTGTACGGACATTTCTGAATTATAGTTCTCTTACCTCTTTTGGATAAGGAGGAGGAGGGAAAACACGGTTGCAATCATAGACAATGTCATCCTCGTGATGTTTTAACTTGCTAAAAGACCAATTTCCCACAGTAAAGAGCAAACCATAATGCAAAAGAATGGGCTGAACCCCTTCTCTTGGAATATACCCTGGGTAAATCATCAGCTCATCACTTATCTTGTGCTTTAGTCCTACCTGTTCAAATAAAAAAAAAACCAAAATAGAAAGAGACATGTTATTTCTCCCAATTCAATCATGTGTATACAAAGAAAAAAAAAAGATTCCAGTGTTACAAAAGTTTAATCTTTGAGAGAAAGGCATTCTCACTTCTGCAGCACCAAACGAATATCCATACATCTCACTGATCCATCCCATTCCATAAATATCACCAGTTATATTTGTCCCCCAGTGAGCACGATCCTCACGAACTTCTTCTGTTTTCGAAAGCCACATCGGTGCCAATACTCTTAGGTCATCAATATGCATAACAAGGAGACCACCAACCTTATCACACAGTTCTGGATGTTTTGTGTGCAGTTTACTAAGAATATTATCACATCCAATCAAGTATCTGTAAATAAACAAGATTTTAGTGAAAAGTAGATGGGAGGAACATTTGATGAAAATGAATTCAGGGGCATGAATCCATAAGAAGCAAAGGCATTATCAGATCCATGATTGGTATCAGCTAAATGTTTTAGTAGCAGAGCCTGTGTAGAATTGTATACAATTTTTTTGCTTTTGCACAGTTCAGCTGTAGGATTTGAAATTGGGATTTAGTGTTGCAACGAAAACCCCGTAAAGAATTAAGCAAGCCCAAATCCTTAAATTTTAAGTACGTTAAACTAATTGGATATTCTTCATAATGAAAATGTCATTCACGGACTAATTTATAAAGTTTAAGAGAGAAAAAATAGTGGCAGTTGAAGAATCAAAGTAGACCAAGATGTCAATACCCATAAAGAGCAGCAACAGGCTTGCCTTTCTCAGCACCAAGTTCCCAAGGTAAAATAGGACCTCTGATAATCATATCGGCATCCAATATCACAACCCAATCAACATGCTTTGCTTCATTGCTATGTTTAAGCCAGTGCACAATCCCTGCAGGTTTATTGATGGCAGGATACCTGTAACAACAACAAAGTATTCCGTTTTATGTGTGTGTGTGTGAGAGAGAGAGACAAAGAGAGAGAGAGAGAGATTTCTCCTTTCAAGAATGCTTAAAAAGAAGAATTAAGATGCCACACTCATAGAACATAAAGAACTCAGAAATTAATCAGAAAGAAAAGTCCCAGTTGCAAGAGGCGAATAAGAGGGCATATAATCAAAGATGACATTCATTGAGAAATTAATCAGAAAGAAAAGCCCCAATTGCAAGAGGCGAATAAGAGGGTATATAATCAAAGATGACATTCAAGCCAACCTTAATATACACACGCAACTGATGTATGATCAACATTAGCCTGTTATGACGGTGGCATGAAGCTCTTCAGATGAAATAAAAGTTCCCTAAAAGACAAACATACGGCTAAACAAAAAGTAAAAATACAGAAGGGATGGAACTTTCTGTGATCACGAGAGACAAAGAATGCAATTATCAGCTTCAAATCAAATCAATAAAGGTTTTCTTTACCCCATTTTTCTCTTTTGATCGGTAATGAAATCAATAGGGTTTTAACTTATAAAAAGAAGGCTCATGCATGGATGTCTGATCAAATATACATCATTAGTGCACAATAACAGAAGAACTTCAGGATACCATCTAAGAAACCATTCAATACAGCTAGAGAGAAGATGGCCTTAAGAAGAGACTCAAAGAAGATGGGCACCGTGATAAAGCAAGGGAGAGAAAATAGAGGTGATCATATTCAACATATACCTAAGATAAGGTTTCTAAGTGATCAAAGACAAAATAGCAATGGACTCCAGATCAAACTCAAACGGCATAACAATAACTCGACGATCTAAGTTCTCTTAATGTTAATTGTTCAATATACCAAAATTCAGAAGAACATCGGTTTGCAGTGATCAAGAGAGATGGCTTAAAGTAAAACTCAACTGCAGGAGGGTAACATAGCATAAACTCTACAAATTTGAAAAGAAAATTCTAAGATTTTGATTAATGAGAAATTGGGTAGAGAGAGAAATTTTCATTAATGAGAAATTGAGTAGAGAGAGAGTAAAATTCTGATTTCTGAAAAACTTGGAATTGGGTAGAGAGAATTTAAAATTCTGAAAACGGGGAATTGGGTGGATAGAGAGAGAGGACTAAATTTGAAAAATGGTAGGAATTGGGTATAAAGAGAGAGAAAGAGAGAGAGAGAGAGAGAGAGAGAGAGAGAGAGAGAGAGAGAGATAAGTTAGAACGAAGTAGTAGAGAGAAACTACACGTCGCCGTACGTACGAGGAGTGTCGGTCGTCACGTACGGAACGGGAACCGGAAACGGTAACGGGACGAACGTA